TTTTCACAGATTATAATAATTATGAAAATAATAAATAATTCCAAAAAAATCATGAATATTTGGTGAATATTATCACTTTGATTAAAAGTATTCGGAGCATTAACCATCTCCTTTATTGAAAACTAATTAATTTCAAAATTTTCTCAATCAAAGCTAGATTTTTTAAATTATTTAATTTATTAATAAAATAAGTTATGATCATTTATTTTAATCATCAATAAGTATTCAAAATTGAGATCTTAAATTCAAAAATTAAAAAAAAAAAATTGTAGGTGATTTTAAATATCAAAACTACTAATTTTTTAAATCATTAAAATATAAAAAACGGTTAAAAAAGAAGATAAATCCATGTTTAATTTTCATTAAATTGGATTTGGATCACTCTAAGCTAAAATCTAATTTAGAACATATGAACACACTTGCATAAGAGACTGTCCAAAACAAATACTCATATAAGTTTATTTGAATGGACTTGGTGTATTGGTCATTTACGTTTACATCATGCATTGGTATCTAAATCACATTCTATGATCATACATAACATCCAATACTCTTGGTTTCTCTCTTAATTGATCCCTTGATGAGCAGATCAGGTTAGAGTTGATTAATATGGGTCAAGAAAGCTACAGCACATCTGAGCATAGTATTGATTGATCCATCTCTTCTAATAGGAATCAACATTACATTTAGTACATGCCTTATGATTGCACTCACCCCATCCTATTATTATCAAGGCTAGAACAGTCATTCACGTATATCTTTGATTGACATTTTCCTTAGAACCACTACAGCTTGGTCTTTTAATAAGCTTTTGATTTCATTATACAAAACCTTTGAGCATGAGTATCTTGTTTGATTAAGTTTTAACCTGATCCTCGGTTGAGTTAGTTTGAGTAGCTTTGATCTACGTATACTTTTGAAAGTTTAAATAGATCTTCTAAAACTATTGTTCCGCATAGGCCTACCACAACTTGTCTAAAAATTTATTTATACCCAAATGTCTTTCATTTATTTGAAAATTCATCTCTTAATTAAAAATAAAAGAATGAGTATCTAATTATGTTCTAATCTAATCATTTTCGACTGCACTTAACATATCCATGCTCTTTTGACTAGATTATTCATGTCATAATCTAGTCATGTTCTTTTAACTAGACTATTACTTATATTCACTCTTTTTTAAATAAACTATTTTATTTTGGTTAGTCATGATACTTTGAATAGATCATTTCATTTAGTCCATTATGCTCTTTTAACTCAATCGCTAGCTTTAGCTTGTCATACTCTTTAGACAAACATATTCACATCTTGGTTTAATTACAATCTTCTGACTAGACTTAGTTATAGCTTAGACACCACAATATCACATTCACTTGCCTAAAAAATTATATATATTCACCATCCAAAGCAATTCTTAATGAAATACATCCATCACAAAAACTAATTTAAGTAGGTTATACCCATACAATTTAAACTTCACTTAATGTTCTTCATAAATACTTGGACCCTTTTGATCTTTTAAAACATTGAATAACATTTGAACACTTGAATCTTGAGTTAAGTAATTATTAACATCAATCATCTATCCCTAAAATTGATATATGCATTTGTAACTCCATATAATTTGAGTTAGCACTTCAATTGGTTCAATATGTAGGCTTAGCATTACAATCTAGGATTGCCCTATGGCTATGATAAGTTTGTTATTATTATAAGGCAATGGTTTATCTGACAAAGATATTCATTCCATCCTATCCAAATCGCATATGAATGGCCAAGAATACAAATAACCTAGAGAATTTAATCTTAAATTTAATAAATTAAATCTATTATTTATACCATCCGTAAGTTTACACTTTTAAAATAACTTTTAATTCAAGTCTTTTAAAAAGTATAATATTATATATCTATTTTCAAATATCTTTTAACCCTATTAAAGGCTTCTCTTCAAAATTAATTTTTAAATTCAATAAATTTTATGTAAAAGAACTTAATTTAATTTGATTATTAAGACAAACTAATATGAGTAGACCTTTGACCACCTTTTTGACCTTACACTAGATGCTATAATAGACACACATTTGTTGTTTAACTTAAAGTAGATTCAGGTTATTACTGCCACAGCTATGCTCTTGTGATAATTTGACTAATGCTATGTGGCTGATTATGCTATTTTTCACTCCTGCCTTTGTTATGCGATTGTTGCATTAGATGTGGAACTGTGGTAAATATTATTTCGCATTAGAGGTGGATCTGTGGTAGATATTATTATCACTTGTAGGTGTTCTACACATAACTAAAAAGTTACTAATTTCTACAAGAGCTGTGTTATAAGAAAAAAAAATACCAATAATTCATTTGATAGCTACATCAAACAATAAATTCATATGCAAGTTTTTTAAACTTTGTGTTATAAGAAAAATACCAAAAATGCATTTGATAGCTACTTCAAAAGCTACTTCAAACATGATAGCTACTTCAAACAATAATTTTTTTAAGTTTTTTCTTTTTTCTTTTTCACTTTATGTACAAATTATTAAACTATTCGATACGCCAGAAAATCTGTGTATTACTCGATATTCCTATATACTTTAGTACAAACAACCATATACACACACATACAGGTTTTTTCCCCTTTCTGTGTGTATTATTAAACTATTTGATAAGTCAGAGAAAAACTGTGCTGTGCTTGATATTCCTCTATACTTAACTTTAGCGCGCGCACACACATACAAACATATATATACTCATATATACACATATATACATACTTTCTAGTAAAAAAGTCTTACGAGTGAAACAAGCTACAAACAAGGGTTTCCAACTAGCACGCTTTCATATCGAGAAGCATCTTTCAATTCAGACATTAGAAGTATACAAGATGATCTAGGAAGTAAAAACAGCAGCAAAGGAAACCCAATACTTGCACCTTATGCTCGTGTGCAAGTTTCTCGCATATTCTATTTATGTGCAAATACTATGGTTAGATTATTTATACAAAGTCTATCTGTATTTTTCTATTGTCATTGTAATTGTATCCACAAACTCAACTGCATCCATTCTCAATTTTCTTTTATACTCTAGACTTTATTCTTTTAAGTGTTTGAATTGCATCAAGTGTTTCCCATTTTCTTGTGTTATGTTTTGCTTATAAACCAGGTATCTAGGCTCATCAAGAAAAATCATTTTCCAAAGTTCAAATAATCTTTTAATCAACTTTAAATAGGCCCTATAAAAAATCAGAATGAAAAAATTTGCATTAATCCTAGAACTTTTTAAAGAGTTTTAATTATTTTGAGTCTTTAAGAGAAGATACAAAGCGGAGCATATCAGCACTAAATCATAATAGACGCATAAATCATGACATGGCATGGTCTTTCTTGAATATAGCTAAAGCCTTCACTTAATTATAAATATTTTCGCACGCATACATGCCTCCAAGGGCACTTTAATTCTCTTCTCTACCACCCTACGTAATTAATTAAAAATATCAAAATTTTTGCCTAAAACCAAGCTCAGAAAGTGGCAGCCTTGATCAAGATAAAAATCTAAGCACATTTAATTAGATTTGACTCATACAGTTGAGTTTTATGTATCCACTCTTTGCAGGTCTTCTTTACACCTCTACAGATTAGAAATCATATATTGTTTTCAGTTCTACTAAGTAAATTCATTTGTCTAAGAAACTATATCACTTCCTTGTCTTCCTTGATTTGAGATTATGAGATTACTCTAGATATATAATTCATAATTGCTAGCTGCTTGTTTCTCACGGTCAGGCTAGCTAGACAGCCTTAAAGGCTAAATGAAGTCAAGCTTAGCGAATTAGGACAACAGATTCATGAAATTCAGACCAACTGAGCCTGACTCATGGTGATTTATCAATCATCATTCCATGGAGTTTTGAATGTGGAAATTCAATGTGGAAAGAGGATCATCCACTTACATGCAATGATAACCTTCTTATAGTCTAACTTGCCTTAACGCATAGACTAATTTTTCTAGAGAGTCCATTCCTTTAATATTATCAAATCATAATACAAGCATGACTCTTTTATTAATATCGTCCCTTGAAGATGTTATAGATTGTAATTAACCTTAGGAGATATTTTCCATTTGATAGAACAAATGAGCCTGAATCTCTTAGTTGTAACTTCAAACTATAAATAAAAAATATTTCATTTTAAGAGTCTTTTAAATAAGTTTAGGTAAAACTAATTGGAATTACTTCACTAGATATCTTTTTTACTTTTTTTTTTTATGAAATCACCTATAAAAAATGCACCCTCATATTATACCTTTTTCTTTCAAACAAATGTTATGTAATTTAGCTCACTAGCATTGACATCAATATAGTGTTGTAGCTTTAAATTGTTATATTTCAGTGCAGAATGTTAGTATTACCATAATGATTCCATATTTCTAAAAGAGATGACTTGATTTTAAAGTACATTTCTTAAAGCATGCTTATATATATATGTATATATATATATATACAATGTTTTTTTTTCTCCCTTCTTTTTGTGTTGAGGATGTAAGTGGATGGGTCACCCTTATGAGTGAGTTATGTATCTGTGTGTGCGCGCGCGCGCGCGCCGCAAGCCGTGGTCTGTTGGTTGGCGGGGTTCACTTAAGTCGCCTCAGGTCACAAGTTCGATCCCTAGTGGTGCTAGGTTCCCGAATATTTAGGCACATGACGCGGGCTCTCATCATGGGGCATTGCGTATGAGAAATCGGTATTTGGGCCTCTGCCAAATACTGATTTCCTTTTGAAAAAAAATAAGAAATGAAGAAAAAAAAAAGAATATATATATATATATATATATATATATATATATTAACATATTAGGCAAGTTAAGTGTAGTTTGATGCTAGTGCAAAATGCTAGTGCAGAATGATAGTGCAAAATAAGAGGCTTTTAGTAAATTTAGAGCAAACATCAAGAGGGGCACTTTGAACTTTCATTATTTTGCTAGTAAAAGCGAAAAATTTTTATTTACCTATCATCCCACCGAGAAAGGCGGCAAGTTAAATGTGCTATGACCTCATGCACAGATTTAGGAGCTGCACTTCCACCAGCAAGAAGTAATTCCTACAAAAGATCACACAATCAAAATTATGATCTATACTAGATATGAATTATTAGTTGTACAAAATTATGAATCGCACACAAGTATGATAAATGGCTTGTATTTCTTTTGTAACCACCTGCACTTCAGTGATCCCTAGAACATTTATGTTTGACGCAAAACCTTTAACATGCATCGCAGTCACTAAAAAATTTTGAGTTTGCCAAGCACGAAGCACAACTGGTACATCATCTTCATTGCAAATTGGATCACCAACTGATTGCCCCAACAGCTCAAATAACAGCCCTCCTGCTACTCTGACAGGAACCTGAAAAACTATTCATTTTCAGTAAAAACAAAAAAGAAAACATCCCATATATATATATATATATATATATAAAGTTACCAATTAAACATAATTTAAAAATGTTAAAATATTCAAATTGAACAAGATTAATTCATATTGGAATAAAAGTTGCATTTCAGGAATCAGATTTCAAAAGATAGCATTCGCCATATTTTTTTTACAAAAAATTAAAAAAAAATTTACAAAACCAAAAATCAGCTCTGTTATGGGTAAAACATGCTAGCTGCTCAATACCACAATAATATATGATTCCAGTTCTTGCAAAAAGAATAAGGCATCTATTCTCAATAAATATCAAAAGCACTCTTGTTCACAACAAAGACTGCTGCTTTCAAAAATTACCATATGTAATCATCATAGTAAGGCTTTAGAAAGATACAGAGAATAATTACAAAATCACACAGTGAAATAGATTTTTTTTCTAAGCAGTTCCTTTTCCTTGCTATGCAACACCTTAATTATCTGCTTATCCCAAAAATTTTACAAGCACAATAAAGAAACTAACACTGGCCTAAACCCAAAACCCTCATAATTTATATCTTGGACAACGTTTTGCAATTCTTCCAACAGGTCAAACATTTAAAAAAAGAGTTCAAATTCGCAACCATAACTTTTATGTCAGTATTATCAACCAATATAAAATGATTTCTAATTTCTATATATACTAAACAAGCATAAGTGGTTCTAAAAGATGGCAAATTTCAAAATAAATTGAGAGGTGACTATCAAATCATACATATAATTACTTCTAAAAGTTAGATGTCCCACTTGATATAATTGTATTTTGAAATAAATATTTCAATTAATGCTGTCACTATATGAATGTCATTTTTTCTAATTTTGAATTCAAGTTGAAACCTTCAATCATTTTTGAATGCTGCTTTATTTATAATACACACACACACACACACACACACACACACACACACATATATTATTTTATTTTCTCAATTTTTAATCACTTCAATTCAAATCAGTCATTAGTATAGCTAATAATTTCATTATTTTTTAAATTATTTTTAGCATCCCGTCCAAATCTATTAGTTGTTTAATAGAAATTTATGCGTTTGTGAATAGTACGGAATCAGAATTTCACAGAATCCTAGTAAGGAATCACAATTTCACAAAATTTGAGTTGTTCGAACTATATATATTTAACACCATGTTTGCATTGATATATTAGGTGCATAGCCTGAAAGCTACATGAACCACATAAGGGCTATGGGTAATCTAAAGAGACGAAACAATAAGTTTCCTTGTTATAGGATAGAATCTTCTCCTGTAGATATATTAATTTATATGTACAATTAAGTTTCATTGTTAATCCAATGCATGAGACGGTAAAAAAACTGAAATACAACAAACAGTAAATTCTCAAGTTGTTTGAATCCTCAAGGCAATCGATTGTTGAAATTTCAATAAAAGAAAATTGAGAAACCAGAACAAAGCGTGTAGGAAATCTACATAACTTCAATAATCCATCCCTAGGGTAAATGCTATAAGTGGCCTAGAATGAACACTACTCTGGAGAGTAAAGTTATGGAAGCGCATAAAGACCAACGATATCTCCATCTAGTCAAAGCAATTATAGAAATACAAGATGCTACTAATATAAGTGTCACTGGCTAAAAACAAAAGCATGCCTTGACCTCTATAAACTCTGCATGTAGAAACAAGTATTGAACCCGAAATGTGTCTCGTATTGTCAACATAGCTACATTATTAAAAGGAAACTAATACTATGTTAAGATGTAAAGCATATAAGAAAATATGAGATCCTTGCCACGTATCAATGCCAACAGGATTCATGGCACATCATGAGCGAAATACAGAAAAACTAAATCACAGTCATTCGTGAAAATTTTTAAGAAACTAGATGATGTGGGGCTAGGGGCTGAACCGACCCCAACTGGCTTAGCAAGAGAAAGCCCGATCTAGCAAGAGGTTGGACCAGCCCTTTTTCCCTCTTATTATTGGACGGGAATTATTCCTACCATCCATCTTCTATTTATACGTGTAGGGGTGTAAACGAACCGAACACGAACGAACAAAGCTTGTGTTCGTGTTCGGTTCGTTTAAAATTTAGTTTGTTTGAAATAAGCTCGTGTTCGTTTCTTAACGAACGAGCCGAACACGAACCGAACACGAGCTGTTCGCGAACAACGGGCCAGTTTGACATCCCTAATATTAATATATAAAAATAATATTATATATTAATTATATAACTTATATTATATAAATATTCAATATCTATATTAGTATATTACTACTATAGTATATTAATATATTATTATTATTATTTTATTATATATTATAATTTATAAAATTTAATGTTTTAAAATATAATAAATTTTTTATATATAATTATTTTATATTATTTTATATTTCAAACAATAACGATTCGAACACGAACGAACGCATCATTGTTCGTGTTTGGTTCGTTTAACTAACCGAACGAAAAAAATTTGTTCGCGTTTGTCTCGTTTACTTATCGAACGAATCGAACACGAACTCATTGACGAACCGAACACGAACTGTTCGCGAACAACAAGCTTTTTTGACAGCCCTATATACGTGTCTTTGTCGTGCAAGGGTAGAGTTTTTGGTCTTTCTGAGTTCAGATTTATGTCCAGAACGCCATCAGGGGCTGTTTCCCCTTTTAGGGTTGTATTTGAAGGCGAGGAGGTGCTCCGACTATAACTCGTCTAAAGTGGTAATCTTCTCCAAAGGGTTGAAAGATGCTCCTACTATAACTCGATCCAGCTGAGATACTTTTTCTTCCCCAATACCTTCCCGTAACCCTTTGTTTTGTTCCCGGTCGCCAGTACAGAACCCATCCTGCTACTTCTTGTTGTAACCCCGTCTGCACGTTCGACTGCACATCCGGTATCCGACTACCATACTCTCTGTCTTACGTCGTAGCTTGTGTTGTGTCGTTTCTTATTTCAAGAGTCTGTGTTTGTAATCTCTTTTGTGTTTCAGCAATAAAATTCGCATTTCTACTGTGATTGGGGTTAACTTTGGCATCATTTAGTATCAGAACTAGCCAAACCTCGGTCATATCCCAGAATTTCCTAGTATCTGCCATAAACCAAAATATTTTTTTTCCTACTACCAAAAACTCTTTCCACTTCCACAAATCTCAAACCCTAACCATACCACTCAGGAGATACATGTCTGAGCCTACCCGGGAAGAAATACAACGAGAGATCCACAGACTTTAGTGGAGATCGCGGGACATTAAGGATGACATCCAGAAAGATTTTACTTCAATTGTGATAGGGAAAGTCGAAGGGGTGAAAAAGATAAGAATTTCAACACCTTCCATAAAGAGGATTTCAATGATAAAGAAGAAAGGCCACGGTGTTTCAAAATTCAGCATCATAGGAGAAATAGGGAGGACACAGAGACTTCAGAATAAAGGTAGATCTACATGAGTTCGATGGAGGTAAAGATTCACATGATTTTATTGAATGTCTACAATCAATTGAGAGGATCTTTGAGTATAAAGAGGTACCAGAATATAGAAGGGTAAAGCTTACAGCTATCAAATTGATAAAGGGCGCCTCCTTGTGGTGGGACAACAAGCAGAGGTAGAGGAAAGAGAAGGCAGTGATAAGATCATCAAGTGGGAAAAGATGAAGAAAGCAATGCAGAAGAAATACCTCCCACGCCATTACTGTTAGAATATATTTTTGAGGCTCCACCACCTGTAGCAGAGGAATCAATCAATAGAGAAGTTCACAGCACAGTTTGATCAGTTGCAGATGAGATGTGATTTGGTCGAGCCAGAGAAGCATATCATAGCTCGTTATGTGAGGGGCTTGAAGCCCGTTATTAACAAAGTGGTGTAGTTGCAGCCTTAGTCGTCACTTAGAGATGTCCAAACCATAGCATTAAAAATGAAAATACAGCATAAACAAAGCAAACAACCACCACAAATCAGGCATCCATCCACAGTTAGACACCAACAGGAGCACACCTCAAAAAGTTGAGCAAGTCAATTTGGATAAGGATAAAGTCACCCCAGTAAAAAGAAGCCTGAGAAGAGTAGCAGGCCTGCTACAGTCCCTGTCAGAAAATATATCAAATGTCACAGATTTGAGCACATTTCCTCCAACTGCACGACAAGCCAAATCCTGTCTTTTACCAAGTAGGACGTCGTGGATGAAGTTAGCGATGAGGAAAAACCGGAGGAACAGGGTGAGGTGTATCACTTGCCACCAGATGAAGGAGAAGCACTTGTGGTTTAATGAATCCTACAGGATACGAGGAATCCGTAGAGGCATCGCCAAAATATCTTCTACAACTACTGCACGGTAAAAGAAAGGTGTGTAGTCTCATCATTGATGGGAAGAGCAATAAGAATGGGGCATCCACGCAGATATTAGAAAAATTAGGTCTCATGACTCAGAAGCTGATGTGGCTGAAGAAGAAGAAGAAGAAGAACAGAGTTAGCAAAACTAGAGATGCCTAGTGGACCTTTCGATAGGGAGCCAACTACAGGATCATGTGTGGTGTGATGTCGTCCCTATAGATGTCTGTCACATTTTGTTGGGGAGACCACGACAATTTGAACGGAGGACTCAGTAGACAGCTTCAGAAACACATTATTTCACCAAGGATGGGAAGCCCATCAACCTACTTCCTTCGGTGGTGCCCAAGATCACATGAGCCCTAATCAACAAAATAGCATAGGTGGGACTAGTTCTGGTGACGACGAGGCATGGGAATTGAAAAATCGACTCTAGACACAAGGCACACACAACAGAGGGCATTTAAAGATATTAGGGTTTATACCTTACCACCAATGCCACCACCGTGCGAGAAAGTTTAGATTACCCCCACTTCAGATCTGGTTATGCCAGTTGTGGATGACTTTGAGAGTATTCATCAGCATAGGCAATGTGACAACTTGTTTCAGTTACTGGGGGTACGAGTGTAAACAAGCCAAACACGAG